TAAATGTATTTTATTTGTTTAGCCTGATAAACCAGACTAAATGTGAGATTAAATGTGTAATTTAGGCTAGCCCAGATGAATGAGACATGGGAACATAGTTGATGAGAACAACCCGTTTTTTTTTTCAAACCATGTCTTTGCCTATTGGCCAACGCTCTGACCAATGAGCGCAACTGACTGTGATGTAGTAAGCACGACAGAAAGCTGGTGAGGGAGTGTAAACAAGCAGCCTGTGAAATGGCTGTTGGTAAAACGGCGAATACGTCTTTCTTCACTTCACTTCACTTTCTTTTTTTTAGCAAATAATCCAACATTAAACAACAAAACAACATCAAAACAAAACAAAACCAAAAGTTTACCAAAAAGAATAGGCTGAAGCAAAGCTTATTATTGCCTACCCTGTTTTATACTTACAACCTTTACAATATACCAGGTTCTTTACTGCGTATATACATTTTCAAATCTACATAACATAGGATTTTATCATTTTACATTTTAAAGCCCTTTTAAAATTCACCAAGAAAGGACATTACTTTAAATCATCATTCAATTCATTCCACATTTTCACACCAATAACTGAAACACATCTAGACTTTATCTGACTCTTCTCTTTTTCACATTCAAATATAAACAAACCTCGCAAATTATATTTATTCTCTCTTGGCTTAAATAATTTCTGAATAACAGAAGGAAGACTTTTGTTCACTGCTTTATGCCTTATTTCCAGTATTTTTATATAAACAATGTCTTTGAATTTTAATGTATTGCTTTGAATGAAGAGTTTATCAGTTGGTACACGGTGTCCCACCTTATTAATAAGCCTTATAGCTTTTTTTTGCAACTTAACTAATTTATGAATAATTCTTTTATTTGCATTTCTCCATACTTCTGAACAATAAGACAAATAAGGCATAACCAAAGAGGATTATATAATATGCAGGCCTTTAAAGGAATAGTACACCCAAAACATGATTAGCCTTCATTTTCTACTCACCCCCATGCTGAACAACACTCTGGAGTACTTTTTTGATATCTCAAATGCATCTGGAGATCTGGGAGGCTTCTTGCTGTCTGCTGACATTCAAATAATGGAGGTGCCCAGCGCCCGAGGCAGAAAGGTCCATAAAAGTCCACAAAAAACGTTTCAATATTCCTACATGCTCGTCCAATGTATTCCAAGTTTCCTGAGTGGGTAGCATCCAGAATTTACTCGAAACAAAGTCATTTAGAATGTTTTTAGAGCATAAACAGTAGTGTATAGGATTTCCTGAAAGCGCGCACATGCTCGATCCCGACGCTATGGAAGCCGGCAGACCAAACCAGCGCATTCAGCTCGGCAAAGAACTCATGCTCTTCCTCAACACTGAAGTCCTCAGACATTTTTCTTTCGTTGTTTCTTTCTTTGCACAGGTAAACAGCACGTTTCTTCTTCTAAGCTTGCATTATTGGCAGAGCAGACGCTGAATGCGCACTTTCATCTGGTTTGGTCTGCCGGCTTCCGTAGCGTCGTGATCGCGCATGTGCGCGCTTTCAGGAAATCCTATACACTACTGTTTATGCTCTAAAAACATTCTAAATGACTTTGTTTCGAGTAAATTATGGACGCTACCCACTCAGGACACTTGGAATACATTGGACGAGCAGTATGGAGGAATATTGACACGTTTTTTGTGGACTTTTATGGACCTTTCTGTCTCGGGCACCGTAGACCTCCATTATTTGAATGTCAGCAGACAGCAAGAAGCCTCCCAGATCTCCAGATGCATTTGAGATATCAAAAAAGTACTCCAGGGTGTTGCTCAGCATGGGGGTGAGTAGAAAATGAAGGCTAATCATGTTTTGGGTGTACTATTCCTTTAATATTTATTAAATCTTTTATCTTAAATAATATTCCAATAGTTTTTGCTATTTTATTTCTAATATATTCTATGTGAGGCTTCCAACTAAGTTTGTTGTCTATAATAATCCCTAAAAATTTTGTCTCATAAACTCTTTTAATTTCAACTCCATTTATACATAACTTTACATCGTTATAGACCCCATTACCAGAGAATACTGTACCATAAAATTTAGTTTTCCCTTCATTTAACGACAACTTATTATAATCAAACCATGTTTTCAACTCAGCTAACTCTTTTTCTATCGTTTTTATTATTTCATCCAAATTTTTCCCAGAAAAAAATAGATTTGTATCATCAGCAAACATTATAAACTTTAAATCACTGGATACTGCAAATGATGAGACAGATAACCTATAAAATACATCAAGATCCTTTTCATCCTCCCAATAGTCCTACTACCATTTGCAGATGTACACCACTCCTTGTCAGAAACAACCAATCACAGCCAAAGTTTCATCAAAGTCATCACACTAATATATCAGCTGCTCACATCCCTCTCCACCAGAGCTCAATGTTGCCAGTGTGTTGATGGTGTGTTCAGACAGGACATGGTGGCTGTTGGGATTGCCACTATGCATTTCAGATGCGCATTGTTTACAACTGGGGCTGTAAGCATCTGTTGACAGTTAGTGTTGTGTGAGGCATTGGGTGCTTTATAAAGTTTTTTTTTTTAGAATGATAGCTTTGGTTACCTAAAGTTTTTTTTTTTAGAATGATAGCTTTGGTTACCACCCAGCTGAATGTGACATGTTTTCCAAGACTTTTTTGGGTGCCAACATTCAAAGGGTTGTAGCAATGATTCTTTTTTGATTTTTCACTTGTATCATTTGGAAAAATATACATCAGACTTTCAGGAATGGTCAATAATTCAAAATTATTTGTTTTCACTGTGATACTTCTTGCGTACTGCCTTACATTATTTTGAATCTTAAAACAAATGCAGTAACTGGTTGAATTAAACAACTTTAAATACAATTTTGCAAGGAGTAAAAATAATTTTGGGCATAACTTTAATTCCACATTATCTATACACTACAATAAGTCTTTCAAGCTGCACTTATTATTTCTATCAGAAATTTAAAACAAAAAGTGCTTTGTGGTATAAGATTCTATAATAGTTAGTCAGAATCATCTTAATGGCACACATGAATTGAGAAAATGGCTTTTTTATTGGCTTTCAGCTAGAGAAAGACAATACATAAAAACATTAAGTAGACCTCCAAATGAAATCGTATCTTGGTGTGAAAAGGGGACTAAGGTTAGTGGATTAAATGAGCAATTCTTGGTTTTGAGTAATAGGGTCTTTGTACAATATTATAAACGTTTGCACTAAGATTTGATGTATTGTACTTATTTTCTGGCTAAATAACATTAATTACCTACTCACTTTTTGATCTTGAAACATACCTCTCATATCACTTCTGCTGACTCCTCAGGCCTGCACATACTGATAATATTGGTAATATCTTTAAGCATGTTACCCCAGACAGGATCACAAAAGGGAACACTCAACTCTAATAGAATACACACATTTTTGTCTTTATATAAACAATGGCAAATAAAGCTTTTTTTTTGCATCATGCCACAGGGCACGAGTGCTCCAGTGGTTTGGTGCTTCAGCAAATTAGGCTTGTGTTACTAACAGGATGTAATCTTATCATTGCATCTTGGAGGCAAGAGAAGCTACACATATTACACCTCACACAAGATGGTAAAATAAAGTTAGGGATATCAAGTGCTACAATTTCAACTTCAATCGTGAGTTTAGCTCAAGACAGAACAAGTAATGAGTAAAGAGGAATGAAGCAATCAATCTGATGACATAGAAGGGGCTTTTTTTTTAGCTGTGCTTGATAATGCACAATGTAGATGATTCATGTGAACTAGCTGCTAAACATGAGTTAGCTGCCAAAAGAGCAATATTAGTATGTGGTATTGTGCTCTCAATTTGTACTTCAAATTGCAATAGCCATTGGAAAAAGTGGACATGAAAATAAATCCATATTTATTTCCAATAATGGAAATAATAAAATGCACAAAACAATACAGTTTACTTGCAGTATAAAGCATTTTCTTTTTGTCATAAACCATAACACAATAGACCAAGTTAAAAATGCCACGATAGCCAATGGAAGAATGTAATGTAATGTAATAGAATAGAATAAATAGAATAGAATAGAGTAGGCTTCCAAAATTGAGACGTGTAGTTCAATAGGAAATCTACACGGTATCTATCTGGCTTACACCAGGTTAAAACTTTCTTCCTCTCATGAGAACTAATAAGTGACATTATAAAGGCAGAAACACAGAACCTGGACTGTAAAGCCAAACATTACACAATACAATTAAATGGGCTGTTTAAATAGGGCACTACACTGTGCAAAGACACAGCTTCCCAGTGGAGAACTGGGCCCACTATCTCTGAAGTTGCATTGATTAATCTTAACTAATCAAGAGAAAGAGTCTTGACTAAATAAAAGAGGGACTCTCCTTTACACTGGGGAAAAGTTATATTTCTAATTTTCACTGGAAGCTTGGTTAGTGTGTATAGCTTTTCTCCCCCCAGACTCATCTGGGAACTGTCTTTTGAATTTGCAAAGATTGTCTTTGAGGATAGTAACACACAGATACATACTACGTTATAATTAAGTTATTAGCGATGTCCCAGGTGAAAGCCAGCGACTATCAACATATTCATATTTAATGCTGGAATATATATTTAACAATGGGGTGATCAGCCATGCATGGGTGCGCTAAGGTTTGTGTCAGGAAGACAAAGCAGGTTGAGACAAAAAAAGCAATTGAGGGTCAAGACTTTAAATAGAGCAACAATAAGTCATAGTTTAATATTTGAACTTAGAAATAATTTAAATATGCCTTACTGGCTGGATTAAATTACCATGCTGAACATTTATATTATTGCACATTTAAAAACTAAACTATATATGTTTAGATTTTATATTTGGGTTTAAATCCCTTAAGCTTATTTTTTTCTATATTCTGCATCTTCTGTACACTAAAATGTCCTAAAATCACTTTCCTAACAGCCACTTTGCACACTAAGATGAGAATCAAATAAAAAAAGAGCGAGGTTCTCACCCTGCCATGACGATGAAGAAATCCAGACGGTTCCATGTGTCCCCAAGGTAACAGCGCCGCCCAAATATTCCCAGAGCAACCATCTTTATAACCATCTCCATAGCAAAGAAGATGTAGATGAACGCATCAAAGGCCTAACAAAAAGATGGTTAGAGACAAATATAAGAGGGAAATCTTTTCTTACAGTGCTTTCTTTTACAATAAGAAAAATCAAACCATTATCAGATTTGTACCATCACATACTGTAAGACAACAAAACATGATTCACACCTACTTGAAAGTAATAATATCTGTATATGTAAGTTAGATTTTGGTTCTGATTTACAGTGTGTTTATTCTTAATATTCTGTTATTTTTGCCATTTAGTTCACTTTGCTTACTTTTTGCCATGTGTCCTCTAGGCTCATTTTAAATACTGAAAATTGCAACTCATATCTTTCGTTTCCAGCTCCTATTCCTTCACCTTTCTTGAGTTAACAGTAATAACTTTACTATGTGAAGAAAATGAACTCTGTATTGGTATGCTGAATTCCGATAGCCTTTATCCTTCTGAGTGTCACTACTCAATGAAAATGAATGATGCTTGTCTAATTAAAGAACTACAAACACAGTTTATTGACATTTTGTGAATGGCTAAAGCTTTCCATTACAAAAAGGAACACATACAGTATAAATGTCCTTACATTGTTATGTGTCATACACACCTGAAAAAAAAATAATGCATTTTTTCAATTCTGTGAGATCGATTTTGTAAGTACAGTAGCTTCTATTTACAAGATTTGAACCCTTGCAGCTCCATTTGCAAAATTAACCATTTACAGGAAGTATTTTTCTACCTTCTTTACTTTCAGTACTATGTGTACAGCACTTACTGTATCATGGCGACCGCTGACTCTCTTCTGCTTTCGCTTGAGAGTCCTTATAGATTTGCACCATTCAGGCATTTGTTGTTTTTGTTTTTTGCATAATGTTTAGTGCTTGTGTGTTTACCTTTTCCAGTGCTTATTTTAGTATTGTTGGATTTGTTCTTATTTTATTCAATGTATTTTACATGTTTTACTCGTTTTAAGCATTTCTCTCTCAGCTAAAGCCTTCTGTTAACTAGTAAATTCTATTCACCTGTATCCCCTCATTTACCTACTGTTCTGCACCTGCTTTTCTCCAATGCTTTAGCCTCCAATTCGATGTCACTATTCATTGCATACATAATTCTTGTATTAAATCTCCATGCCAGTTTCTCTGTTTACCAAGCCTTATAATATGGGAGAATGAGTGGTGGGTCTATGATTTGCATCTGACAAGGGATTACTCTAGATGGAATGGCTTCCTTGTAGCCGAAGTCAACAGCATTCAAACTGCAGGTTGCTCAAATGTTGGCAAGCAGATTTGACAAAGACCCCTGGATGGGTGTCAGCACATTTCCAAAAATTCACTGAAATAAAGTCAGGATGTTTCTTATTTGTTCCCTAATATAAATGAATTATTGTGCTGATTTTTCAGTCAGGATTTCTTTAACAAAAAAATCAAACGTGAATAATAAAGGGCCACATGGCCTCCTTAACTTCATTTAGATAAACAAAAAATAAAAACCTTAGCTTTTGGTCACACCAACTCCCTCGTTAAACTTGTTTTTTCAGTTATTTTTTTTACTAATTTCATGTCAATCTCGAGCTTCAAGTTCCAGCCATCTGGTATTTTTCATATAAATCACCACCCCCCAAAGCCTGTAACTGTCTTTTGGAAAAAAGTACCCTCAACAATATTTGATAGAAAAATAATAATAATCATGGGCAGGCCCATATCACAACCAGCTTAAATGAAGCATTTAATAACCAGGAAAGAGGGTGAGGAAAATTTCACATCTTGTAATGGAATATGATTGCAGCTGTGAGCAAAAAGCTTTGATTAACTAATATTCCTTTTGGTGTAAATAGGGAATTAGAGATGAACTGACATGCTTGGTGTTGCTTGTAATTTGATTTCCAATGGTAGGACTGTAAGCAACAGAATCTTAAACTGAACCTTATCTGTTTGTGACAAGCTAGCAGCTGATGAAAAGCACCGTACTACAGATTTCTGTAGAGTTTACGGACATAAGACTGACCAGCTATTAAGGAGGAGGAACACACGTCTGTCACTACTCCACGGAAATGGATAGATTACAAAACCTGATAATGTTAACAACTAAAGGATGATGAAGATAGTGAGCAATGATAACAAATCATTACTTCACTGAGATTTTTGCAGCCCTTGATTTTACTATTTCTATTCACTGTTTTCTCTTCTATACTCACTTAACACAGGATGATTCCTAAAGAGAGAACTGGTTTGCCTATGCTGGTGAAGATTCTTATTCATCCAGGTCATAGTCATTCCAAAAAACGAAAAAAAAAAACAATCCGCTTGACTCTGTTTTCCAAGTTTGAAGACATTGCTTCCCATCCAGGAAGCTTTCTCAATAAAAAATTTTGCAGGCCAAAACTCAAATTTGCAGACCAACAATGACCTCAACGACTCCCCATTACTAAGGGGTGTTTTTTTTTCCGGTTCAATTTGCATTTTTTCTAAGCCATAACACGGCTTCTGTTTGGGCCACTTTATAAGCTGAAAACTCTAATCCAGACAATTTTTGAAACACAAATTTTCTGATAATAGACCAACTTGAATACTTTAAACGTATATACGTTTTATGCGTATCATTTGTCTTAAAATGAGTAAAGTATGGTGGACAAAGTCATACTTTTTTTAGGAAGCTGACTATCATAACAATTAATGAAACATATTACCTGCTATAGAAACTCAAAGGTAATTCCCTTTAAGTAAAACTGAATGCTAATCTGTGTTCACTGATCGGATCTCTGCAGGGTAACTTCATATAGGTACTATAGAAAACATTGGCCTTGTCTCTTTGTGACACCAGTGACTCCCCGACCAATATAGAGGAGTTTACCAATCTTCGTATCATGTTTATGGGGGCTGGTGATATTAAACACAGTATGGATAAACACTTGGGGTTTTCGTGTGTTATATCAGAGAAGTTCTCTGCTGTGTTGTCTCTGTGAAAAAAGTGCTTAGCTGATTATCCCAGGGAGCAGAATTTTTTTTCAGTTTTAGCTTTTGAAAAAGCAGAAAAATAGGATATAAGGATTCATTGTTCCAATTTTCCTGATTTACCGAAATTTACTGAAGAGAGTTTTTGAACACACTGAACACTTCAAAGGAAATCTTCAACTGAAGGTAAATAGAGACAACAGTTCTTTATCTCCTTAATCTGTATTCTCTATTAGTTTGAACAGTCATAATTAAGGGAAAATCTGGCTTTAATTTCTAAATTTATTTAATTTAAATTTATTCAAGGACATACACAATGTAAATTATTGTAAAATATCTTCTATTTAAGCAACAGCAGAACTTCCAATAAACATGAATACAAGAGTGTTATGATTTAACCAGCTTACATGTACAATGCAACAATCATGTTCATTCAGTCCACCTGTGCCTGCTAATCATGCTCATCCATTTCAACAACTACTTTTGCTCTTTCATCCACAGAATCATCGTCACATTATAAAAATACACAGGGCCTGGTTCCTAAAGAATCTAAATAAATATTACCGTACAAAAAATTGGTCTGTTGCAAATGCAAAATATAAGTAGCGCAAACTGGTTGAATATATTCTCTTCTATGAGCAAATGCCATTTGTTTCTGGCAAGTTGAAAGTTGCCATAAAATAGAGATAACATTCTGACAATGATCTGTTTCAGGTCATGATCCTTTTGCAAGAGCAGTGACCTGTGACCGAGGCCAGTGTTTTGGACAGTGGGCAGCATATTTCTCTCTAGAATCACTTGTTAATCTAAAGGTTTTATTGTACCCTGAAGAGATTCAAGGCACCCTGTTCCAGATGAGGCAAAGCAGCCGTATAACATAAAAGATCCTCATCCATGTTTCACAGTACATACAGTGTTCTTTTCTCGATATGCTTACTTTTTACATTCTATGAACATAGAGCCAATGTCCCTTGGCAATCCTTTCAGAGTCTTTGTGGCTTGTGAACATGTGGTTTGGCAAATTCCAGTTTGGCTTTTTTTATTATTTGTTTTTAACAGTGGTGTCCTCCTTGGTTGTATATCAAATCCACTTTGGCTCAAATGACAGATGGTGTGATCACTGAGCTTTTTTTGAGAATTACCTTTAATCTCTTTAGAAGTTTTTGTGGGGTCTTTTTTTTTCTTTACAGTCCATATTATCTATCTCTTTGATTTGTCATAGCAATAGCAGCCATTCAAAATGGTCCTTCCCAGTCAAAAGCCAGCCGAATGGCAGCCCACTTATTGAAGGGGGACCAGCCAAGGGCCCATCAAGGAAAGTGGGGAACTTTTGAATGGCTACTCCTGTAAATTTTTCTCCTGTGGCTACAGCAAGGGAGGTTTGCTACAGTCAAATAGATCTTAAATTTCTGAATATGTGCTTGGAGATGGTCTTATAGCCTTTATATTTAACATGCTCTTTCCTTCACTTCCTCTGGTCCATGCTGAGTGTTGTACACGCTATGTCAACAAACAGCACAGTTTTATTACATTTTTATTTTTACAGGCAAGTCATTAAGAAAAAGTTCCTATTTACAATGGCGGCCTGACAAGTGGAGTACCCACTTAGCAAAAGCAAAGTGGAGCTAAAATAAATGCAGTACATTAGCAATACATACATAAAATACAAACACAAGAGCTAAAATAATAGAGCAGTGATTATAAATAGGCATACTGACTGATTGCGAGATTGTAGACACCTCTGATGCTAATTAGTGGACACACCTTAATTTAATGTCACTTTGGTCATATTATTTTCAGTCTTTTCTAAGGGTACAATCATTTTTCATCCAGGCATATTTTATGAGTTTATTTTTGAAGATCCTTCTGTTGCAGCATGGTTAAATGACAATGTCTACCTTTCATTTTTTCTGTTTCATATACTTCTTTTAAATTTTTATCATTTTTATAACATTCAACTTATTTCTATGATCATTGTGGATTTTTCTTTCACTAAAGATTGGGTACAAAAAATTATTATAGGTGTGTATTTTACAAAATAAACAATAAAAAGGACAATTTTAAAGCTAGATTTTGTTTAGTACACAGAGTGCAGATAAGCTGTACAATTCTTATTGTGCTCCATTTGATTTTTCATTGTTATTATTAGTGTACCTAAGTTAATATGCAACACAGTAATTAATCTTATGTGTTGAATTGCTAATGAATGGGCATAAATACAAATGTACTTGTGGGTTGATTAACATAGCAAAGCTATAGAGCAAATCTAGCCATCTCTATTGAATGATTTTTAAAAATCTGGATGCCTTGATGGTTAAGTTTACTGTTGGTATGATATGATTTCTGTATCTACTACAGTCTTGGTGATGTGTCTGGTAAAAATAGAAGCCAATCAAATTTGGCTTGCCATCTGCTTGCTGCCATGTATATGCTCTCATTTATTATAATGGCTGTGTGCTGCAGATACAGTTGAAAATGGGAGTTATAGTCTGCAGGGAGTAATGATTACTTAGCTCCACCTGTAGTGCTCTACCTGTGGTCTTGGGTGGATCTGTGTCTGTCTCTGTGTGGGTCAGGTTGATGAGTGTAGGATCTACAATATGAGTTAACCATTGGATTTGTTGAAACAGATTGCTGACACATAGTGAGCTGCAGAGGTAGGTAGTAAATAGTTACATTTAATCAATTACATTTACTTCAGCAACTTTTTGAAGTAGTACTTTAAGGAGAATTCTTTTCCACTGTATTCCCTACTTTTATTTAAGTAAGAAATTTGTGAAATATCACTATGCCTACTTCAGTAAAATTTCTGGCTAACTTAACTGTGAGTAAGTTGACATTATCCAGGATCAGCAGATATTGTCAGTGGAAGTTCTTCATCCATTCCTAACATAAATATTTCTCACTGTAATGATTGGATTTATAATTGTGACAGTTTGTGTACCTGTAATATTTGGCACCGGTCTGAGGAGCAGTCGATGTTTTCGCAGGGCTGGTACATCCCAAGGGTCACGCAGTTGAGCAGGATTACCATCATGCTGACACGCTCGAACCATGTGGAAACATATAGTCAAAGAAAATGTCCACTCACAGTTTACTAAATCAAAGAACAGAACTTTAGTACTTAAAAGATTATTCAACAGTTAAAAAACCCAGAATAATTTGTAACATTCAACTTTAATCAAGGTAATTAACTTAGAGATTACCTTTACAATATATTTAATTCTGTAAAAGTTCTGCAAAGCAAGTCTAGGAATGGGTGATTATGCAAATATTCATATGGCACAAAAGTTTGAACATCACTAGTAGCTAGGAAAAATGTTAAAACAGCAGAATCCAATATCAGATGTTGGTTGTAGAAAAATCAAGGTGTCACAGTATGATATAATATGAATTGTTTCTGTGGTAACTTAACAGCTTGGCCAGCAAGTGAATGAATGAAAATCTTCCCAAGAATATCAGGTTCTCCCTAAGGCTGTGTGCAGCCTCAAACACCGCCCCAGCTGCTGATAGCATATGATCTTCAAAAGGAAAGAAACCTGCTTACGAAACAGATCTCTTATAGAGTAAAACTGCAGGTTTGAAGAGAGAGAATTCCCAGAAAAGAATGCGATCACAACATGTTTCTTTTGGCCCTGCCTGAACCTTTCAACAAAGAAACAGGTTATTGTAGACATCACAGCGTGGATAAAGATAGGCTATGAGTGGGCAAATACAGGCATACGCATAAACACACACACACAGGTTTGCACACAAACACCCACTTACCAGTGCTTACATGAGCAAAAAAGCACACATGTGAAAAAACAACCAGCAGGTTCAGATACATAAATGCTCAAATTCACCCACCCACATTTAAGCACAGATTCTCACGTTTCCTTTCATAAGCATACACTCTTAGGCTCGTTCAGTCCTTGGATTAGTACATGCTAGCTGATAGGGATCATATTGAACAAAATCTTTAAAACTGCAGGGCAAGTTCTGACTGTTAAAGGAGGCTGTCGCATTTTCCAGCTGCTCTGCAACTCACTGCTCTGTCCCTGCTTTGCTGTGTCTTGTCTTTTTGAACCCTCTCTTCATTTCACCTGAGTTCAAACAATGGTTCTGGTCAGCTGGTCTCTCAATGCAGTTGATAAAATTTTCTCAACTGGAAGACAGGGAAAAGGGGACCCTTCCTGTCCTGCCAGGACATACTTCGTGGGATACACCAAGGACTCCTGGAAGGCTTGGAGGATGGTGTGTTTTAAAATGTTATCAGTGGAGGATATCGAAGATGTATGGATCTTAGGATTTATGATACTCGGATTTACAATAGGATACTAGGATTTCTCCTGTTTGGATTTGGAGGATACCTGATGTATCTACAATTACAGAGGATGTCTGCGGCAATTTGGGTATTGATCAGGCTCCCAGCAGCGGTTGATGCGCTCACAAAGGCTTTGAACGAGAAGGACCGTGAGCTGAGCTGTATGCTGGGTGTGACTGAACCAATTTTGGATAGGCACCCCTCAAACCCTCACAAATGTTGTGGCAGAAGGGCGCAGAATGCCCCCATACCCCTCTCCCCATAACCCCCCACACACACCTGTGAATATATGTTGTTTGCATTATAAAAACATCCCTTTTCACAGTTAAACAGTGTATGTGTGTATTGAATTAGTTTGGCTATGGGTTGAAACAGTTCCAGCCTTGTTTTTTGTACACCAACCTCAACAGGTTCTTTTAGAAAGGACATAACATTTCCAACACTTTCTTGTGAAGAACTCAGCTCGAAAAGTAGGAGCTACAACCTACTAATGACAAGGGTTGCTCCATGGAGTAATATTTTGTAACAATTATACTCAGGGTAATGGCCTCCTACCTTCCTGAGATGAAAGTGGCCGAGATGTGTTGACATTTACCCTAGAACATTGGATTGCCACTACCCTGCTTTGTGAGATGGCATCCAGGAGACAGAAGGCCTACTCTGTAAATGTCTACAATGCAAAACTGATCTGATATTACATAAAAATTGTTGTCTCCCTGTCTCTGTCCCCTTAAAAAGCCCTCCCTCTTCAGTTTCTGTTTGCTGGATCCTCGTCTAACCTCTCGTCTAACCCCTGGTCAATCGTCTGTCTGCCTTCCTCATCTCTTCCTGGTTCCTAGATTTTGGTTTTCCCCTGATGTCTCCTAGGTTCTGGTTCGTGAGTTTTTTTTTGTTGGATTTTTTGATTCCTGCCTCTGTGCCTGTGAACCTCCTGCCTCAGTGCCTGTGAACCTTATTAAACCACTTAAATTCACCTCTGCCAACTCGTCTCTGCATTTGGGTCCTCCTCAACCAACACCACTTTCTGACATTTTTACTATATGTTTTAACTAAGAAAAAAAAAAGAGTGTGACAAAATTGAAAGAATTGAAAGACGTTATTTTGGATTAATTTACAGCTAAAATGGATTTTGTAGACACAATACATTTTTCATGCTCCGCATCGTCAATCAAATCAAAGTTATTAACGTGGTTTGTATCATTCATAACTGCTTATTCTACTTTATATCACAACTGTGAATGTCAGCAAGGTAGCCAATGAAATATTCAGGTGTCAGTGTTGCCACATTGGGCGGTTTACCAGCCAATTGGGCAGTTTTCATTTTGAGGGTAAATATTGCTTTGGGGTGTGGAGATAATTTAGGCTGGTTCAGAGTCAGATCGGCGGTTTTTGAGTTAACCTATTAAAACACATGTCCACCAATCATTCATCATTACTGGTTCATAGCAAAGCCTCCCTGACCTTTCACCATCACTGATTGGCTAATGTCATCTGCCAGGGTGTTTACAACAGACAAGTGTAGTGGTGCCACAAATTATGCTAGTTTTAGCATCAGGTGAATCTGGTTTGATGAACCTTGCACAGTTGAAGGTGGAATCTTAAAGATGCTGGAGGAAACCACTGCTTTCGGGATTTTAGCGCTTGGTACAATTAAACTCTTCACCCTCCCTGTATCAAATGTGCCAGTTGAAATCCCATAGGTGTAGGTTTGCATAGGGGCCATAGGGATTTTTTTCCCTACCAGTAATTCAACGTGAATAACATGTTTATAATTTACAATATAGAGTTGTTGCAGCAGTCGCCTCTTTTCCTCTAGGAGCTCCGCTGCCTGGTAGCTTCTGCTGCCACTTCATCTGACTGCTTGCCTGGTCTTTCCTGTACCTTTCACTTAGCAGCTCATGTAACTGTGTTGCACTCTCATTGGTTATTTTGCCTTAAGTTACACCTCCTCTCTTCCTGATTCACTGTTTTCTGGTCCGTATGTGTGCGTGCGAGCGTGCTTGGAGTGTGAAATAAAAATGTTATTCACACTAGAATACAGCGCTTATATTATCTACAGTAAACCAGGTTGAAGCTACTAATTGCACTTCTGAAAAGAAGCAAGAGAGTGTTTTGATATTAGCATCTCAAAATAATATTTAATTCTGAAGTATAGTACATTTTATCAACAAAAAGCTTTTTTTTTTTTTCTTTTTATACAACTAAATATTGAATACTGAAAAATGGACACCCAAACATCTGCTATTTTTTGATTAGAAAGCATAATAAGGGTTCCACATAATAGTGCTATTTAATTGACTATTTCTACTTCTAGAAATAGGATAAAGAAAAACAGAGGAACACTATTTGCATTCATTTTATTTTACCGGAACATAGATTTCCACATGGTCCACAAGTAAATTACTACAAACATTACTGTAGTGTCTGGTAAAAATGATTGAATCTGGGTCTTTAGTTTGGATATTATTACAGATAAGATAGTGATATATATATATATATATATATATATATATATATATATATATATATATATATATATATATATATATATATATATATATATATATATATATATATATATATATATATATATATATTTATTATTATTATTATTATTATTTTTGTTAAAAGTGATTTTATATTTGAATAAACTTAGGCTCTATCTTGGTGTTGTGCTTTATAGATGCCATTAAAAAAGAAAATAGACATAAGGAGCTATTTTAAGAGTCAGTCAGTAAGTAACAGGATACTATAAAAGGTTGTGTTACATTTAATCATTTAATATCAAAAACACACTTGCATAATTTCCTATTATATGATAATAGAAAACACAGCTATCCAGTAATAATGATGCAGGGCAGCTTCAAGGTGATGCAGCTGGCCCTTCAGTGCTTCAGGTGACGTCTAAATAATTTTACTAATAAATTTAGGAGCAACTTTTTTTATTTAAATACAAAATAAATATAAATTTGTATTTTATATGGCTGAGTTTAGGGAACTCAAACAATGAGTGGTGATGCTGCAGCACAAGTAGAGAGTGAAGTGGCTTCAGGTGAGAGTTTAATTTTATTCAGTAATTGGATTCTGTGAAATCTGTTGGAGCTCACAAATGATGCCACATAAATTTTAGTACAGTAGTTTGCCTCATCAACATGTTGGTTTAGTTTGCTGTTATCTCCACATCAGATTTATTATGTAAGAAATGTGTTTGGAATGTCACAATAAAATTAAGTTTGCAACTAAGATTATACTTTGTTTGATGAATCGATTAATAATTGGATCGGATCAGCAACATTCCTCCCCGAGAGTACGGGGAGATTTCATTCAACCATGTCCTGATCACAAATAGTTATAGTTACTGGAGTAGAGGCTCAGCATTAAATATAAGAATTCAAAATAAACCATAATAAATTTAATTATTTCAGATAAGTAAAAATAAGCTTAGCATATTTGTGTGTGCACTTAGATCGTAGATGTAAAAAGAGGAGTATTAAGCAACACTGTCAGGTGTTGTTCTTGAAAGTTGATTGCACCATAAAAAAAAAAAAAAGTTTTCATCTGATTAAGTTATTCAACTTTTTCTGAAATATGTTTATGACATAAAATCTAATTTATTAAATTAAATAAACCGGGATGAAGTAGGCTTTAGTTAGTCACAATGAGTAGACAAAAGTGGGATTTGTTTCAGTCTGATATCATTATAAATTGACCTAATAAAGGTGACATAAATATTTATTATTTTGATGAGAG